CAGATTGACGATAAAACATAAATATGATATTAAAATGTTTAAAATGAATCATTCATTAGCAAAGCATGCACGCATTTGTATCGCGTCTTTGAAATTGATATTAGGAAAAATGTACTTATTTTGAAAGTGATATGACGCTGGTTTCTTTTCTCAGCGGAAGTCTAAAAACTTCAGTCTTAATTAGACTGGATTTTTCGAATAGATAATTAGAACAATATGATCAAAACAGATCAGTAATCAAGAACCTATATATACGGAAACTCATTAAGCATAAATTTCTTCCTTATATGATGCATTTGCTTATATATTGTAATTTAAAAGTCTTATTATATGTTAGATTATGAACTACATAATTTATTAATAATAGATTTTTATTTTACTTTAAAAAATAATAAAACGCACAGAAAAGGATAAAGATAAGGTAAATAATCGGATAATTTATAAAACTGATTTTCGTTATATGTTTGAAATAGTCCAACCTTTTGAATCCATCACTAGAAATCTTATCGCAGTAAGTCAATCCGAATCACTTTTAGATTATTTACGCTGGTAAATGCTGCACCATATGGATTACCTATCTATCGCATCATGCGCGATCGATATAGAATAATCACACGATTACCGTCGACAATTTACTGGAACATTTCCCTAATTATATTGCAAGTGTTGCAACATAAATAACCGATCGATTACGTCCAGTCGTATTATGCAGTCGTTATGCTTTACATTAAAATGCATTCGTATCATACAATGACGAAGTTCATCGACTTTTTATCATATTATCTAGTTTTTGTTCCGCTTTCTCACTGATTGATATCGCGTCTTAAATAATCGCGGAAATGTCACATATTTCTCTATATATTTATCAGAATTTTACAATATAATTATGTTAATGTATATTTATGTAATATAAAGGAAAAATAGATTTAATTAATACTGATGTATTGTTATTATACTTGTCTTTCAACAATTACGCAATTATATAAAAGTTTTATTTATACAATATCTTTACATTCTTTTTATGATGAATATTTTATTATCCAAAGACACGAAGTTTAAAAAATTGTGCCGATTATTATGATTGGCATTACACGAAACACATTCACACATAATTAAAAATAGTCTTAAAATTCTTATATAATATTAAAAATTATTATTCTAATTTTTGCCATCAAATAATCAAATAAACCTTTTTGAACAAATCTAAATTATGGGAAAAATTTATACAAGCCTAGCTTCGATTGTAAAAATATACAAGCCTAGCTTCGATTGTATTGTAAATTAAAGTCGTATAGCTCGAGTTTCTCGATGTTTCTCGTTCGCCAAAAGAGACGGCAATATAAATGGATAGCAAAAATGATTAGGGCAGTAAACATGACCGATATATAATTATCCCTCCGGCGAAGTCCAATGCTTTTGCTAATTTTTCCGCTGATTTTTCACGTTATCTCGTACGATCGATTTCAGCTATAGCGTGTACTAACATTTACTATTTGCGAAATGAAAGGCGGCTTTAATTGCCATCATTGTCACACCAAAAGTGTTAATGTGTGTCAACGTTTTTATCGTAGACGTTATCATCGCTTTTGTCGTAGCTGTGATATCTTTGTCGTCGTCGCTGCCGTTTAGAGGTGTGCTGCGAAATTGTACAGAGAGTGCAAGGAAGAGAGAGTGTACTCTCCGTTCAAGAAGAGGGAGATTGGCAAAAAGATAGAAGGGGGAGGGAGAAAGAGAAAGAGAGACTAAGAG